ATATTGTTTAGCGTAAGTTGGGGGCAGAGGGCGATTCCTGAAACTCGTCCTTGTGACAGTCTGAGTGACGTCATTGTAATTGATATTATCATACTTTAACTGATATGGGGTTACCAAATTAAGCCCACAGGGAGAAACTTGCGATCACGACCTAGCCTGTTGATTGCACTCGTTGCAAACACAGACGCGGATGGTAACTTCTCGATCATTAACGCCCTAGCTTAGCCACATTAGAGCCATGGAGAAAGGTCTCCCGCGGACCCGGGATAGTTTGTTGACTCTACAGCTTGCTACGGCTGTAAGTCATGTTCGGACTCGATCGGATCTGACCCTACGAGGAACCTAAAGCTAGATTCCTTCAATGAACTAATTCCCGAAACTGGCGGACGGGCACGTATATCATATAATGGATTGTGTTTCAATCGGAGGTGACATTCATGGAGTGGCCGGCCTCTTCAAGTTACTACCAGCCTCTCGCATGAGGGCATCGTTAAGGGTTGAAACCTGCCGCCCTCCCAAGCTTTCCTCTTTAATTCGCCGTTTGACTATAAATCAGGACCCCGTTTAAGTACCTTCTTAGAACGACTTTAATTAAGAACGTTGCCCACTGAAAAGTCCCCTTTTCAAGAATATACCTCTGCGCTCGTCAAATCCACACCAAATCATACTAGATCAATATCGTCTGAAAGGTCTCCTTGTTCAGATCAAAACTGGAATCAATCCCCCTGCCCATACTGAAAAGCGTACTTAGACCGGGTCTCGATTCATTGAAATCGCATTTCATTGCATATGCTCGGTATCGATAAACCATGCGTTATATATACGTCCATGTTGATCGAAGGTCATTTGCACCTGAGAAATGGGTCTCAGCAGTCTTCGGAGGACCGATATTCCGTTCATGCCTAAATCTGCTGGAAGCAAAAGCGCATCGCATCTAGCTCATCAGCTGGATCTAGTGCTGATATTCTTGCCTGGTTAGCGTACGTATTGCATCGCACCAGACTGAAAGGATATCCCCTCAAGTTGGTTCGGCAGCGTTGACCGGTACCTCTTGCCACATGACGGCTTTCGACTTCCGTTCCATGACATGTTGCATCTTGTTACGTCATCGTTCCACGTGGAGGCTGACGTCAGATCTTAGAGGATGATGGAATGCACAGTCTGCAGTGCCGTGAAGAAAGGTGGTGACGCGTCTAACGCAGATGCTCAGCTCGAGCAAGTCGTGAGCTGCAAATGCTCATGCAGGCAGAATTTCCTTGATGGGGACGAGTATATTCAGTGCTTACAAGATTCAATCTTCTGTACAAGAACCGCACAATTTCGAAAGGTCTCCCATTACCAGTCGGTTTCCGACCATCTACTTCTCTTGCAGATTCTGCGTCAGGGAAATTCGGTGTGTGACGCTAGATTCAGCCCCGCCCAGGATTCAAAACTAAAACCTTGCAGGGGGTAGACTTCCGCCCGTAGTCACAGCCCCCCCCAGGAGTTAGCCACGTCCGACCGGGCGGTCGGGTGCCACGGCACGCACATCTTTTGCATCACCTCCCGGTTGGCCATAAAGTCCCGGGGCATCACATACGAGCTCAGCGGCCGGAGGCCGTATGCGGACGCCGTGACGGACAGCCCGGACGTTTCGAAGACGTACATGTTGCACCGGGAGTACAGATCCCACTCGGCGACGGTCGACGCCATCGCGGCCGCGGCCGCGCCGGGGTGGTCGATGTGCGCGGGCTTGATCGCGGTCGTCAGGACCTGCGGAGGGTGAGGGCCGGGTTAACGTGCGTTTCAGGGTTTGGGAGACGTTTGGCGGTTCCGATCTGGGGTCGAGATTCAGCGAAAGTGCGGTTCCTGAACTCGCAGAATCATGTCAGGACCTCCCATGCGGAAGGTGTGGGATATCGGTGAAGGTCTGGAGGTCTGGAGCGGCGCTTATTGACTCGGGGATTGAGAGACCGGGTAAAGGAAACGAGGTGTCTCACTCAGAGATGCACACGCTACGATGACACGTCAGGACGCGCTGACCGCTACCAGAAGCAGCCCCCAATCTGAAATGAGTGGGAAGAGAAGTCGCAGCCCAATGCATTTAAAAGCAGGTTAAGAGAGTGGGTTAGTGAACCCACCTGGGTGGTGTTGGCCAGAGCCAGCTGTTTAAGCTCGTACGAGGAGCTGATGAGGAAGATGCGCGACCGCTTGCATGCTGGCGTCATCCAGTACGACATCAGGGACTGCGCCAGGGGGCGACACGTGTCAGCTTATACGTTAGCACCTGGAAGCCTCACCGTTTACACATGACGAGCGAGGGAGCCCTCGAGAGGCGGGCTGACGTCGATCCAACGGTAATGATGCCGACGAAAGACGAAGCGAGTGGTAGGTCCAAAACGAAGCAAATGGAGTGAGGCTTTCTTCTAAGTCTGGCGCGCTTTGTAGGCGCTTATGGACGGCCGCACGTTGCGACACGATGTCAGAAGCCTTGTCAGCGATAAGCAGAGGAGACGTGTCGGAAAGCGGACAATTGTCTATACTCCCTTCAGAAGATGTCCAAAGCGGAGTCTCGCAAACCCACATGAAACCTGATACAAAGCACCGTCCGAGACCAGTCCAGCTCCCATCCTAGCTCTGCTTGTCTCTCGTCCAAACCAGTCCAAAATCCGTCCGCAGCTTTGCCTCGGGTGTATTCAGTCCCCGTAGAGCTCGAACTGTTAATCCAGAACCCTTCTCAACAGAAAAACGAAACGCCCACACCTCCTGCCAAGACCGTCCGTGACTTGCTCAAAACCCGTACGTCCGGATTCAGACCGATAGCGCGCCTTGCCTGCACGCACTCCGCGTGGCTGCTGTTCCAGGTCACTTCAAAAGCATCGTCCAAATCTGTCCCCCAAGCGATGTGAACAATGTTGTAACGTGTTTGGAAAAGGCGTCCGAATCGTGTCCGAAAAGCCGTCCAAATCCTGTCCGGAGACAGCGCCCCACCAGTACGCACTTCATGTACAGCTGCAGCTGCGAAAAGCAAAGGCCAATAACTTTCCATATATTGCCAAACCCCCCGTGACGTGTTCCGAAAGTCGTCCGAGTCGTGTCCAAATCACCGTCCGAAAAGTGTCCGGATAAAGCGCCTCACCTGTACGCACTCCATGTACAGCTGCAGCTGCTTTTCCAGGTTACCTCCAATTCACGAGCAAAAGCAACGTTCAGAATCCCTGCCAAGATCGCCCAGGATGTCTCCAAACCCGTCCGAATCGTGTCCGAAACAGGTCCGATTTCCGTCCGAAAAGTGCGTCTCACCTGTACGCACTCCATGTATAGCTGCAGCTGCTTTTCCAGGTCGCCTCTCCGCTGGCCCATCATGGCTTCGTCGTTCAGCCGGATGTGGACGCACACGCTGAACGTCTCCGGATCTTCCAGCTGGCGCGCGATGGCATTGTAAGGTCGGGAGACCTCATCTTTCACCCTGCGTAAGGCGTTTGAGAAAGGGTCAATCACAGGGTTTGCGGAGGGTTTGGCTGAGGTTGGCCATCCGAGCAGTGGTTCAGAGTGAAGAGGGCAGGAATACACTGATGGTCCCAGATAGTCTTTGTGTTGGGAGTTGCTGAAACTCAGTCTTGGTCCCTTATGATGGGGCCGGTCTGTGGCGTACTACGGGTAGAATGAGCTTTTCAGCACGACTTTGCAGGTGGCGTGCTCCTCCTATGCTGGGCGGCAGGCTTTCTCTGAGTACTAGCGGCATTGGGTTGGAGAATTTTGCCCCTGCAAAGCGAACGGATTGCAAGGTCTTCAATGTACGAGATGGAATGAGATAAGAAACTACAGAAACGCACCGCATGAGGAACCGGTTCAAGCAGCCCCAGGCATAAGGCGGCGTCAGCCCCACTTGCTCGTGTATAGCCGGGTGGTCATGCAGCCAGGTTATGACCCGCCCCTTATTAAACCGCACAATCGCGATCCGCGTGTCGCCTATGAGCTCGTGCATCTCCGGGAAGGTTAGCATCTCGCGGTTGATCAGGTTAAGGATAACCACGTCCCTGCAAGCAGGGCAAGCAGGCGGGTTGAGTCATTAGGGATACCATAACCTTCGTTCACTGGACTAAACCGGCGCCGCAATCTCGTTCGCCTTAGCCAGGCCAAGGGATGACGTCTTCTGGGAGATCAAGTGTCGCCTCTGGCAAGCCCGTAAACCAATGTATGGTCGGCTTAAAAGGCGTATTGAAAAGCTTTTAAACGTGGCTCCTCACTCTTCGCTCGACATCTCTGAAACGATCGACCGTCGACTTGATCCACGGACTCAGGATCCTGCCTGATCTTTGACACGAGGTTGAAGAACGCGAAGACGTGTACACAGAGCCTGCAGAAAGCACTCCTTTTTGGAACTAGAGGCGCCTCTCCGAAGCGCTCTTATTGAACCTTTCCCGGCTCAAAATTTCTCTCCAAAAGCGGTACCGCAGCAAGTGCAACAACTCACTCTCCACGCTTCTCCACGTCCCCCCACGTCTTGCTGTTGTTTCCCGGCAAAACGTATCCATCCGGCAGCGTCCAGTCGACCTCGACTGGCTCGAAAGCGGAGAGCGCGGCTGGCCAGTGCAAGAAGACCGCGCGGTCCGCTATAACCGAGTACAGCAGCGAAGTGGTAAAGCCCTTCAAAGAGTCGCCCAGGCCGCCGCATGGGATGCCATCTCTGAGGAGAGAAAGGGGGCGACGCTTTCGTTAGACTCAGGTAGTTCCTGGGACAAGGACTGGAGAAGAAACTACGCGCGCAGGTGATATATAATGGAGCTGCGGATGTGGAGCAGCAAGGAAGTTAAGGCAACTCGTCGTCCTGGTGTTATAGAAAAACCCTCACGATTGCGCCATCGACCTATTGAAAAGAGAAAATTTATGAAAAAGATTCTATGGCCAGCTTAGGTCTTATGGGTGTTGAGAAAGTCAGAAGACTTTCAGCGCTGTGGCAGCCAGCACCTTAAAGTCGTATGGCCCGATTTTTGCAGCAGGACCTTTCTCAGAACCATTAGAGCTCTCGCTTTTCGAGAACTTAGATCATTGCCCAGGTCGCGCTCATGAGTTGCCCGTCACCCATTATAGGATATCCCGCTAACCCGCCTGAACCAAGCGTAACCCGTGTATTTCCAACGGTAACCCGCCTGGAAACCAAGCGGAACCCAGCTCACTCTTGGCTGCTGCACACGAAGATCAGGATCTTCGGCAGCGCATCCGGTTGCCCCTCTTCCCACACCAGAACGGGCAGCCCTGTCTTCTGATCGAGCAATCCCCGCCGCACAAACTCCGCCAGCTGTCGGCGCCAGAGGGCGTGTTTCTGCTTGTACTCTTCCTGCCACGTGCCACAGAGGGGCCACATGTGTATCCCGCTATGGTCTTCGAGGTCGCCCCCGCAGACGCTCGAGGGGGGGGAGCCATGGGTGGAAAACAAATGCTGGGAGCTAGGCCGCCTGTAAGGGGAGAACCTACTAGCAAAGCGTTAGGACTGCTTCGGAGTGGTTTGCTATCAATGGTTAGTAAAGAAAGGTCGAATTTGAATGGGTTAACAATTTGAATTAGGGTGGGTTTGGATTTGGGCAGAACCAATAAACGAGAAGTGGTTAGGTCAGGGTCAAGTTGGTTTAGGGTTTTGTTTGTAGTGGCACAGATTTGCACGTGCAGCTCTGGCTTCTATTTTACCTGCTTCTGCAGTCATGGAATTGTAAACCCTAGTTTTCTGGGATGCTAAAAACGTGAGGCATTCCTTTCTCAAGCTGAAAGCAGAGACTTTGATCCGAGGCCGGGTCCCCAAACCCTAATTACCAACCAGCGCCAGCCAATCGTATCATACAGTAAGCAACTCCAGCACGATCAAGCTGACGCTTTGATACACAACTTTCTCTGCTCTGCGCAAACTCCAGGCACCTCTTAGAGCCTCTCTGTGTGTGATTCTTCACTCACCAAGATAAACAACTGCTACCACCCATGCAGCGACGTCAGCGCAAATTGCAGACTGAAATTACACACCACAACACACTTGCAGGGTAAAGTCTCCTGGTCCCAAGCATCCTGAGCTCACCAAGCGTTTTCCTTCTCCAGGTTGTGCTGTACCAGTGTGTACACGTGGTAACAAGACAGGAAAATGATAACACTCCAGTACAGGTAGCGATGCTGGAATGCGGCCAACGGACCCCACCGCCCGCCGGAGGCAGTCCCCTTAGGCGCATACTTGTCGTTATCCTTTTCTTCGGAAATGCTCCAGAGAGAATACTCCTGTAAGTCCCGCTCTAGGTCCTCTGCTTTAGCGTTCATCATGAAACAGCCCGGAAAGACGGCTACAGAGGATGTCTTGAACTGAGCAAAGCGTGACTCTAGGTGGTGGTAAAAGTTGAGCTGCTGGTTGTTTGTTAACCACTCCAGCAAAGTTTGCCGATAGAAGAGTGAGTAATCAGCAGCTGCCAGTACTTTCCTTTTAGCAGGGCCGGGACTGTCAAAATCCACTCTGACGGACCAGTAAGTGAGAGTGCGACAATTGTTTCTGCTTTCACCAGACGGGGAAGAACAGAAGTGGTTATGTTATGCAGATTTTCGGGCCGTCTGGACCAAAGGGACGGATGCTGATAAGAACGGCCAGCTGCTAGAAGTATCGCGCTCTCCAATTCCAGGTGCTCGTGGTATCGTGCTTTCCAGTTCCAGCATAAGCAAAGCAGAGAAGATTAGGCAGCGGAGATTATCTTGGTAAGGAAGCTTGTGGGCGTTTCCTGACGGGAATGGTTGAGTCTAGTGCGCTAAATGAGCCTGAATCTTCCTGAACGCCACGTCTTCACCACAGCTGGCAGTTCAATCAGAGCAAGCAGCTAAGCGGGGAGCAACTGCTGCAAGCTGAGTGCCTAGGATTGTCTAGCATGGGACGTGAAGGTGCAGGTTGCAGTGCTCAAAGCAAACCCTAATCCTGGCCCTCTAAGTTTTAGATAGTACTAACTAGCCCGCCAAACCAGCTCATTGGCCCAACTTCCAAGTGAGTTTTCTTGAACGCTGGTAAAGAATCCCATGACACGAGCATGATGGCAGCAGATGTGATGACAAGGCGCACACAGATATGTTGATATATGGATCGGATTGCTCAAGATTGACCCATATTACCTTGGATAACGATTTCATCACCAATATATCAGCTCAGAAAGCTGAGTACAGCGAGTGAGCAGCTACCTACAGCTAGACAGACGTGAAACAAGGTACGCTCCTTGCAGTATGTAATCACCTACGCCTGTTTATGTGTCGAAGTACCTAGTCTAAATGCTTGTACTCAAGGCTATGCCGCGGACTTGGTAAGTGCAGGGGGGCTGCACGTCGTTAGAGACCAACTACCTAGTAGAGTGTACTAGGTACGGCCGGTACCTTCTTGCCAGCTGGAATCCGTGCGTCACGTGTATCATGTTAGCAATGTGTCCACAGAGTTGCAGCCTTTGGACAAGTTACAACACCAGTACTCTGCTAGCTGCTGCTAGCAGCTGCTGCAGCTACCTAGTAGCTGCCCAGCTGTGCTGCAAGTGACGTTGGCAAGAGCACACACTGCATCGAGTTTTGCGTACAAGAAGCAACACCTACCTACTGGGGATTGCGTCAAACCTGATACCGGCCGGTGACGGCGCTGCCAGTCGCACACTGTCGAGCAATATTCCCGATATCGTCAAAAGCAATAAGCCACCGGAGATCAAGGGTTTGGCCAGCTCTGTTTCGTTCCCAGTCACCGCCCAACCGAACCACAAGGTCGCTTTTGTGGCGCATCGAAACCCTCGTCTCAAGGTTTGACGATAACACATAAGCATACGGCTTATAAGCAGGGGATTAATGCGAGGTAGTGTGCGACGTGCAACGTCCACCAGAGAACCGACAGGACAACTGAGGCGCAAGCTGCGCGCAACTAGATCTGTAGTCTGACAACACTCGGAAATTGGTACCTATCCCTTTGTCGCTCTGAAGTCTGGCAGTCTGAGTGAGACAGTCTGATCAAGACTCTGAAAACACGTACTGGTGAGTCTGGTGAATCGTGATACCTAGGTACATAGTACGGTACATTGGTGAGAGTCCGAGCGGGCACATGTCTATGAGCCGTAGTACGTACGGTCGTACGTCATGGATATCCAGGGGCCGGAGTTCAGGTCGCATCTGAATTTTGGAGTCCAAGATTCCTGGGTACGGTATCATTTGGCAATGATGACTCAGTTTGTACCAATTATACTGCCATTACTGGTGACGATCGAGCACCCACCTGCAAATTATTGCAATCGCAGTGTTGCAAGATTATTTAAGTAGAAGCATTCGCCATGCACTACCCTTCCTCGTAGCTGCTCGGACCACCCGTACATACCGGGGTCCGGACGGTACTACCGTACGGGAGCTGACCAGTTTCCAGTAATTATTTTTGCAGCTGGTCCTAACTCCCAAGTTCCAACTTCCACGGAATCCACCTGTACTGGCCGGCCGTACTGCACGTCTACCTTGTTGCCAGTACCTGTACGTCTACTGCAGGTACGTACTAGCTGGCAACTCCCTTGTCTCTTATGAATAGGGGCTTGTCTCCTAAAACTCAGAAGCCCCGGGCACACCAACCAAAATCCCTAACCCAAAACCTTACGTGCTCCGCACCGTTATCCACCCTAACCACCAAACCAACCCTCAAACCCAACCCGTCCACCGGCCATGAACCTTAGTAGAACAAGCCCCCTAACGAGACAAGGGAGTTGCCACAATCCGTAGACAGTATCCAATAGGCTAGTGTGCACCGAGGCGGCTTGGCCGTGCGCGGCGTGCGCACTGCGCTGTGCGAGCTGTGTCTTGCAAGTACTGGAATGTACGCCTGCACCCGACGGTGCGTGCACGGTTCAACCTATAGAATCCGGGCCTAGCTTCAGGCACACAACTCACGGTCAGCATACTGCCGGTACGTACCGGTTATTCTTTTTGGCCGCACAGGGATTCGGGAAGGGTCAAGACTGGCTACTAGTAGTAGTACCGGCCTGCATATCTAACGGCAAACCTGCATGTTGCAACACTTTGCCCTTCTTAAACCGCCAGTGTGGTTTACTTAACCGGCTGATAGGTGCGTCTACGCTGTTCAGCTCAGAGCATTGGTGGCTCCTGCTGTCAAGAGTTTCTGAACAAGTGGTTGAAGCTCGTGAGGGACCCCGCTAAAAGTCAGATCTCAAGAGACTCAAGCTCAAGTTTTACTAGGTACTAGAGCTTGCAGCTACCATGCAAGGGCACAGAACACAGTGTTGCTGGAGTGTGCATCCAACGCTGAGCAGGACGTCCACATAATACCTACATTACATTCGCCTACTCTAGAGCCTAATCAAGCGGTCTCAGCTTGAGCAGACGGTGAGCTGGGCTGGTGCAGTAAGAGTCTGCCAGCTGTCACCATGGGGCGGCCAGCTGGCGTCGGCCTGTGGGGCTCTGTTCCAGCTGACACCCGCCGCACATTGTACATCCAGCTTGCGGGCATCGTGTTTGTGACGCTGCTCTGCGTGCACAACCTCTTAGAGCTGCTGAGCAGCGATTACGGCCGGGGAAGTGCGGACGGCGTCGGCAGCTGGGTCTGGAGAGCGGAGACTACGTACTCGTGGACCAACTTCGGCGGCAGGGTGAGCTGCGCGTTTTTGGCCATGTGGGCAGTCCACTTTACAAAGTGCAATACTAGATAGTATTTTCAGCTTACTTATTTGCACTTGTTTGCACAGTCAGCAAAGCAAGCAAGAAGTCCCTGCATTGGAAAGAGTTGCTGGTTTACCCGCTTCCAAAAGGAGGCTGACATCAGCAGAGCCTGCTGCTGGAAAAGGCAGCGAGTGCGTCGCCAGGCAGACTGGGCGGACCGCGTGACGGGAGTGCGGCGGTATCTGGTCCTAGGCTGCTGCCACCTGTTTGTGTGGCAGTATTTTTAATCCTGCAAAAACACCAGCTCGAGGACTTCGTTTGAGCATGTTCTCACGCAGTAGGAATGTGAGTAATGGACAGCCACTGCCAACTGCCGTGCCTGTCGCCAAGAGACTGCTTACATCCAGATATGTGCGCAAAGGTGCGCAACAGCTCACGATTGGAATCAATCATGCACATTTTACCATCAGCCCCTGACGCATGGCTGCTGTAAAAGCAAGGGATTGCAAATGTGTTCACTTGCACTTCAAAAATTCGTGAGGCAATGCATTCAATCTTTTCATTCAGCTACTATGCTGCATCCTCAATTGATTTATCTGCCAGAAAATTGTTTGATATCTACCTTAGAGTGAGGCCAGAGGAAATTTAGGGTTCTGCAAAAAAGTGGTTGTTGAAAAGGCTGTGTCAAGTCTCCGCCCAGAGTTAGATCAACATTAATGAGCAGGCCCTTCATCTAACAGGTTTCAAAATGGGCCCCAATACGAAGTGCCTACCCGCGGAACTCTAGGCTTAAAATCGGCCACTGCAAGCGCTGACACAACTGCCCAACTCCGTTCGTGGTATCTATGCCCATCAGGGCTACGAGCAAAGATCTTCTTGCCTCCAGTCATAGCATTGGGCCTCCACGCAAGCAGAAGCAGGGAGCGCTTGGGTTTGTTGTCGGACTGGGTGCCTGCTGAAGGCGTGTCAGCTGGTACTCGATCTTTCCCTTCACCAGTACTTGGGAAGAATGAAGGTCTCTCTCCGACCCTGTATACGGCTGGGCACCAAAAGCTCCGGCCCGACTTTCCGCCATATGACGGAAAAGCTGAGGTTTACCATTACAAATTGCTCACCGCTGGACAGCAGCTCCAAAACAGACCTTCTCTTAAAGTGGGCGTAGGCCGTCACGCCGACGGCATCACCGTAGCGTGACGGCGACAGAAAGCAATCAACATTGACCCTCCGATAGATTCAACTCGGTGGTTTGTACCGTCCGATCGGAAAATGACTTGCGAGCCCTACGCCCACTTTAAGCAATGAAATTCCAAGCCCTCAAACCCACCCCCTTGCTTTTTCCCAGGTTAAGGAGTCGGGCGTCAAAAAGGAACCCGGCCCAAACCCCGAGGCAGCCAGCCTCCCCCCCTTCAATCTGGACTGCACCGCCGCCCAATTTCTCGAGTCGGTCGCGACAGGTTCAAGGAACGGAGTTCGGGACGGGCCGTTTCACACCGACTGCCAGCTGTACAACTACACCAGTTCGGAGGCGTGCGGGGTGCTCTCGTCCTTCGATTCGATACTGGTATTTGGGGAGTCGCACGAGCGACACTTTGTCCAAGGTGAGGCAGAAGCGGGAAAGCTGAGTCTTCACGTATCGAAGGGTTAATTGATCAGGTTTAGGGCTCCAGCTTCTCAGGGTTCTAATTTTTGGTGTCAGTTCGAGGGTCTTAGGATATTAGAACTGAGTCGATTCTGCTCGTGATGTCTACCGTCGTGGCGTGCCGGTTGCGGCAGATTTATGGTTCACAGCTAGTGACGTTGCCGGAGCTGTCCGCAATCCCCTACAGTATCTCCACTGGCCTCGGGCTTATCACAAGCGCTGAGAGTATTGTCTGCCTCTTACGGTTCGACGGTTTTGGGGCCAAAGCGAGACTATGAAACGCTTCCTTCTCCCAGCAAGGGATTATGCGCGAAAGGACCCCCTGCTCGCAATGGACATTCGCGGAAGCGTTTTCTCAGTCGAGCAAGTCGGCGGTTGGTCAACAGTTTTTTCTAGATCATTAGTCTCCAAACCGAAAACGATAAAAGGGTGCTTGTCAAAATTCAAAGTGATTCGCCGACTTTCATTTGAAGGCTACCAAGTCAGTTGCTTCAACAATACAGCTTCTCCAGCGCAATCTTCGATTCAGCGAGAGGACAATCGTAATCTTTACAGCGGCTCTCGATATGGCTTCCATTTTTGACACCTCCGTTTCATACTGCTGGTCCCGCATCTTGCCGTCAGGTCCCTAACAGAGTCTGGCTCATAATTTCCACTGAAAGATGCTCTGCCTTTCGTCTGGCCTCATGTTGAGGCCCTTGCTTCAAAGGGCAAGCTGCGCATGTTCTCACGAAGTGTTGAGGATCCTGCCGGTTCCTACTTTCCTTCCGTCACAAAACGATCTTTTCCGAGCTCCACTTCCACAGCTTCTCTGCATTGCATATCAGCCAGCTCGAGGACTGCTCACGTCAGCACTGGCTGTGCGGTAGAAACCACCGGTCAATCTCCTGATCAAAGTTGGGGGAGTGCCACCCCCTCGAACCCCTCCCTCGCGACTTCTGTCGTTGCACGACCTGGAGCAATTCAGTCAGTACGCACGTTTTGGGCCTCTTGACACAACGGGTCTTTTGACCGCAGGGCGAATGTGTCAAAGCAGGAGTTCGGAAACGCGGCGACACCCTCACTCAAATCTCGTGCAAAAGTCGCCGGAGAAGTTTAGAGGCCGACTTTGCGGTTGGCAGAGAGTAATAAATGCGACCTCCATCGGATGGTCCGGAACGTCGAAGTTGGGGGCTGCCCCCATCGATCAACGGTTCCGAACTTTCGTTGCTGGCACCACGAGCGTGCGCACTGACTGAATTCCTACTGATCAACTTGAGCTCCCTGATCTTTTGTAGATTTTGTCACGCATCTTTGCGCTCCTTCGAACCAGCTTCGTGGGCCGCAAACGAGCTCCAATCATTTGGCCTGCTTTCTTGAACCTCTTTTCCGTCCTCTGTAACGCACGAAGATAGGTACCCTCATCTCCCCAAAAGCTCTCACCCCTCTCTCCAAGCCTCTTCTGGCTGCCTCGGACCAGCTTCGCGAGACGCCAGCGCTCTCCGATCCTCTGTCCAAAGTCGTCACTTCTCAGGCTTCTGCTTTCATTGAAACATCTGGGACCTTCAAACTGCTAAAACTTTGCGGTTCTCTCTGCAGGCCTCTTCTCGCTCCTTCGCAACAACACTCGCGGCATGGGGGGGCTCCAGAACTGGCGCGTGCCCCCCGGGAGCGACGTCGACAAACAGTGCCAGGGAGAAGAGGCGTTCGAGGAGAAGGACTGCCGATGGGTTGTCTTAACCACAACCGACCATATGGGACCGGAAACGTTCACCGCCGACGAGCTTGCCCCCCTGAACGTAATGCACGAGTTTTGCCCGGGGTACCTTCCGCCCACCATCAAGTCCATCTACAGGTGCGAAATTCCGCTCGGGTTTGCCCTCGGGGAAAGGGTTTTACAGCATTACGCTGTTGAGGGTTTCTTTTCCCGAACTTTGAGGTTGACGGCTATGAGGAAAGATATTTACCGCCCACCATCAAGTCCGTCTACAGGTGCGAAACTCTCCCGATCGGTTTTGCCCACGGGCTAAGGGTTTTTACACCCTTATAGCGCGGACGATTAGCTGCTCAAAGAAAAAGGTTGACGGCTGTGAGGATTAACCCTGGGGGTACCTCCTATTACGCATCATCAAGTCCATCTACGGGTGCGGGACCCTCCCACGGTTTTCGTCCCTCGGTCCGAGCCTTTGAGAATTGATAGCCTTACAGACTTTAAAGCTGAGCGTTTTCCATCCACTGAAGCTTTGAGGTTAAGGGTTTTCTATGACTGAACCTGCGGTAGAGCTTCTGGGATCCCAGGTTAAGTCCCGAATGTCAGCCGGCCCGCGCATCTGCTTTTGACGCCTGGGCTTCCTCTGCGAACTCACCAACGATCATGATGATAATCGACTCTTTATTACAACCACTCCATCTGGTCTTGGCCTGGGATAAAAGAAGGTGTTGATTCGTCGCGGATTGATTGAGCAAACGCTGGACCTCTGATCCTCGTCTATTTGGAGTGGAGTCGTTTTCAAACAGCTACACCCACTCATACCGTGCCAGCTCGTAGAGCGTGCCCTGAACGTTATTCGATTAGGATGCGGCTAACCTATCATCTCGCGCAAAATGGAAAGCGCACGGAAGCGCATTTCCTTCTCGAAGTGCTTCTTCAACGGGGCCGTAAGACGCCTGCCTCGATTGCTCCTAGGCGCAAATCTCAAGGCTGACAGATCTGATGGCAGCGCAGAACAAACAGCGCCTCCCGGTTGCTGGATATGCCCGCCGGCGTACTTGGCATGCCTCATCGCTTACGCGCGTCTTTTCTAAGCAAGTTCGAACTCGGGCCCTCTCGTTCAGCATAACTGTTAACCGTCGATGCTAAGACTTTTTGCTCAGGCCCATAAAGATGCGTCCGATTATCCCGGTCACAAATAACCCTTTTTCCTTTCCTGCAGCTGCAAACCCGAACGGGTCCGATTATCCGGGTCACAAATAACCCGTTTTCCTTTCCTGCAGCTACAAACTCAAACGGGTCCGATTATCCGGGTCATAAATAACCCTCTTCCCTTTCCCGCAGCTACAAACCCGAACGGGTCAACATCCGGTACACAAACTCGATCCTGGCGCACCATCCGCGGAGCGTCCTACTTTACGGGTGGGGCTTTCACGCGGGGCTGGATTCAGCCCGAGCGCTCCAGTATCTGATCACACCGATGGACCAACTCGCGCAAGAGTACCCGGAGACGACGCAGGTCGTCCTCTCGCGGCATTCCGCGCAGGCGAACCGGCCGGAACAGTACGAGGCGACCCAGGGGAACGGAATCATCCGGAAGTATAACGAGGAGATAGGGGGGAACATCACGTGGATGAATGAGCAGCGGCCTGGGGTTCGGCCGATCTACTACTACGATATGTACAATTTGACGAAGGAAGCGTCGAGTTTTGACGGGTCGCACTACGGGCTGAGAGTAGGGCTTTTGAAGGCGCAAGTTACGATCAACTTCTTGGATAGGCTGCGACACGAACTGGGCTTCGCGCCTCGCTTCACGAAGTTCTAGTTGGTCAGAGAGTCATTGTCTTACTAGGTGTACATATGCTTTGCCTACTTTCAGACTTAAGTTCGTTGTGCCTTCCCCCGTTGAGGATTCCAAGGTGCTCACTTCTCTTTTTAATGCACTCAATCCTGCATCATAGTTTCCTATGCGCACAATGATTTCAACAGCTTGAGTCAGTGGGTGGGTGGGTGCCGGCCTAGTCTTATCTAATCTGATCGTGCTTTGTCGCTCATCACTTCGATGTCGGTCGCGGCACGCATTAAGGTCTCATGCCGCGATTCCGTCTCAAAAGAATCTGTAAGGACTTTCGAACTAGGATCATACCCTAAGCGCATGAGGGAGCGCACCGGACCGATTGGCCGCGGCGCGGCTGCAAGGGCCGCCCGCGGCCTCGCAGCCAAGAGTTCCCTCGATCCGGGCTCGGTCACTCGGCTCGCCGCGCTTGCCGCAACCTATAGACAGTACTCTACTTGTCCATTGCTCCATCTCTGAGGATCAGGCCGGCTTCCCGGCTTCACACTTGCCAGCGTGTACGATATGACTAAGTTAAGCACACATCCATGCATGTTGAATGGAAAATGCTTCAATCTGCGTTTAAAAAGTTCCTATGCGCCTCACTGCAGACGAGCCTGGCTGCAGGCCATGCTACATCGATTCGTACGTCCTGGCCTGACAAGACGTTCATGCCAATAACGCCAATTAAGAAAACAAACAAGATCTGGCCGCATGTCATATGCACACCGCGTATGCTTCAGTATTTACACAACTGTGCAAAGTTCCGAATACATGATCGCGTATTCATCTAAGAATTGTGATTCCATCACTGGCAGGACGGCTGGCATGCAAATCTGAGGCTGTCAGCTAGAGACAAGTATGCTGCCACAGGCTGCACAAGCTGAAATTCAAGTTGGTGCACGACCGGTCAGCGGATGAAGACCAGGCGTCCGGATCCGACTTCCCAAATTAAACATGGATCAGATTACAGTTATTTTTTCTTTTTTTAAGGCCTGAGACTTAATATGTGACACCCCTTACTGACTAGCTAGAACTTAAGATGCAATACAGGGCCTACATATTTCTTGTATAGCTTTGTCTCTAGAAACAAAGCTATGCAGCTGCAACGATGGCTAGTGCATGGGTGTACTTACTTTACAGTCATTTCACCGGGCCCTGCAAAGCTACTGGCGCTGGCCTGGCATTTCGGCCACCAGGCCGGATCTTGTTCCTTGCTATCCGAGCCTGATCTATATCGAGCTATCCTGTCCTGCTCAAGTCCCTGACTTCAGCGTCATGACTTCGAGTTTCTAAAGTTTCTACCCTTCACAACTTTAGCGGCTTTTAACTAGCCTGGCTTGATATTGCACGTTCTTTTATTTCGATCTCCTACTAATAACCTACGAGTCGGAGAATCGGATCAATTCAGACGACTCACGATCAGTGACAAAAACTACATACAGCTGTTCACCCCTATGCAATCAGACAAACCTTGGTACGTCAATACCCTGGAGATTTTTACTGCACGCTTTCGTGCTCGAGACACCCCTGCACTTCGCTACTAGACTACACTTGTTCACCTATTTGCTCCCTATAAAACTACCAAGTAAGGTCCGCCAGAGCCCCCAAATTTCAAACTCGGATCTCGGAGTCTGTGCAACATTATCAGGTTTCTTCTTCCGGTTGAAATCGCAACTCTACCTCACCCCATTCCCTTGGAACTTTCAACCTTCAAGACTCTTGGTTCGCTCTCGGTTCGAAGTACCGGCGTATACAAGCTCAACAGGGGGATCCCCCGACCCTCCGATTTTCTCCATCGCCGCGTGCGCGCAGCTCCGGGCACTCTCGGTTTCCGTGACTCTCAGACAGGGGGATCCCCCGGTTTGTCCATCACCGCGTGCGCCCGGTGAAACTCCTGGAACTCGACAGCCTCGGAATTCTGCTGCCGGCGCTTGGACGCGAACACTCCCCCGGCAGCCAAGAGACTCACTAGCGCGACGCTCCCAACCGCGATGCCAAAAATCGCGCCCACCTGAAGACAGGAGCTGCCAGATGTCAACGTTTTCTAATCAATTGAATGCTTCTCCTGGTACTGACTTTTCAATTTCAATCATAAACCAACGCGCAAGGATTGAGGCAAGGTAAATAAGTCTTGAACTTCAGAACGGCTCCGAGGCTCATAGAAGTCATCAGCACGCAGGTCTCCTTCAGCAGTACCGGTTTGGCCTTCCTCAACGCATTAGGATTGACACAAGCTGATCAAGGCTCAAGTTCTGGAACGCCTGCAGGGCTCGTAGAAGTCATCAGCAGAACCGTCTCCTTCAGCAGGACCGGGCTTGGAAGCGAGGAGGTAGAGCTCGGGAAACGGCGAGCTATTCGACGGAGCTCGAAAAGCACCCCCCGTCGATTCCTCAACCGGATTGTTCAGTGTCAAGAAGCCTACGACTCTTCGAAGTACACGTGACGTGAGATGGGGAACTGCGCTAGAATGCTTCCGATTTCAAGACAGCCGAGGCAGGTACCTTCAGGGTCCTGAGTAACCGGGGCAGAATACGAACTTGGAGTCCAGGTCTCGATGTCCAAATGATTCACCAAATCCGCAGCCGTCCATTTTTAGCGGTGCCCTCAAAGTCAGAGTAAAGTCGTCTGTGGATTCGAACTGTCCTAGAATAACCTGAAGCGCAACGCCGTTCTCTGTCGCGTGGCTGTTTGTTTTTGCAACCATGCGAATGTGCCTACAGCAACGGACGTGAAGTTACGACGAAGAGGCGAAACCGACCTCGACTAACAAAAGCATCCTCTCTGCTCAGCGCAATGGTAGACCTGTAAAAACCAGGCAGAAACATACCAACTGAAAACGGTCCAGAAAGATTATGGAAAACTGACTGAACTCTCACCCCGAGCCCTCCTGATTTGTTATCCACTGGCACCGCCGGGTTTTCCGCCGGGTTTGTCGCCGTAACTGCTGCCGCCGTCACTGTTCCTGCCATCAAGAGATACGACGAATTATGGTGATGAAGAATTTTGCCATCAGGAAAGGTTCTCCATTTTTGGGTGGCTATCCCTCCGTCGAGGGAGTACCCTGGAAGTACCCTGGAAGTACGACCGACTTGAAGTGAGACTTCAGTTTGTCACTTTGCTGTCTCTCTCGATTATTACTGCGAAGAGCTATCACACTTGAATCGTCGCTCCTCGCACCAGTGTCATATTCAGTGGACTTGTTTAACAATTGATATTATTGGCAGAAGCCGAGAGGGTTGCGTTCGGTGAAGCACGCCCTACGCGCAGTCGCGCAAGGGCGGCGTTCCAGAGGACTCCGTTGCGCGCTGCCTTTTCGGCTATGCACCTTTGGATCTTGAAGCAAGTTTCTTCACCTTATGGCCCTGAAAGGCCCTTTTTGTCAAGCAAACGTCAGCTGCGAGCTGACAGGAAAAAGCAGGTTGTCGGTGTTGACCGAACAGGGGTATCTCAAGTCACCAGAAACGGCACACGTGGCTCTCCAGAGCAGTTTGTTCTTCTGCTTCCGAGCACGGTCAAGCGCTAACCCGATACGAAAAAGATCAGGGTCAACTGCTGCCCTACAACCGGAGAAACCCTGGACCAGAACACTTGGAAAGCTGCAAACAAGCCGCGGAACCGTGACGAAACGCTCGCGCTTGTACGAGGTTAAGCAGCGCAATGGTCAATCCAAACGGATGAATCTGGTTATCCCCTGATCGAAGAGGCTGCGACAACGACGTGAAAACCAACTCAACATTTCTTCAAATCAGCTGTCCTCATCAGATCGGCTTTGCAGCGTAGGCCTTCATCGAAGGCGGGCGCCAACTGAACCCTCGTTCCAGTATTCTGAATTCAGAAATTGTTCTTCCTATTCCTGTGGGCGTTTGCGCACTTGGCCTCAGTAAGCCTAACGTCACTTGAGACGTCGCCATCGTTATTAATTTTAACGTGGAATCTCTAGCGAACTGGCAAAGGCAGTCGTGTTTGCAACCCTCACCACTTATGAGTGCAGCGGGGGCGCCTGCCGGGGGGTGGACGTTTGTGGGCGGGACGGGGGGGGGGTCGCAGTCGGGAGTTGCATACCCGTTTGCGCACGTGCACTGGTATACCAACTCTTCCGCCCCGTCAACCTCGACCGTGCTGACGTCACACCTGTGGTGAACCGGACACACGTGGCCGTTCTCGCAAAGCTCGCCGGTCGCCGGCGCGGGGGCGGCAGCGGGGGGGCTGTTTGGGACGAGCGACGAGGGGGGGGTTTGGCAGTCCGGCGTAGCCAACCCGTTGGCGCACACGCACTGGTAGGACGACTCCTCGCCCCCGTCGAAAGTCACGATCGTCGTGACGTCACACCGCTGAGGGGCCGCGCACACGAGCCTGTTCGCGCACGTTTCGCCGGTTGCCGGCGCCGCAGCGATTGCAGTGGGGGTTTGGCATTTCAAGTCGGCGCAGACGCAGTTGTAAACTTCCTCAACTGGGTCCGCCCCGGCGAAGCTGACGTCACAGGTGTGGTAAGCAGGGCAATGGAGGCCGTTTGCGCAGACTTCGCCCGCGGGGGCGGGAGCCACAGCTGCACAGGAGTGGTTAAGGGCGGGTCAAGAGCAGGGTTAAGAGCGCTGAAGGGAGCCGATCAAGGGCAATTCAGGCTTGGCTGCAGACAGAGAGGAGGTCGGTCAAGAAGTGGTTTCGAGGTGGTTAAGCATGATTTGGGATTGGCCTTACTGTAGCTGAAATTGGGTCAGGATAGGCAAGGAGGGGTCAAAAAAGGTTGTACACTAGTCACGAAGGCGTTGAGTCCCGCGTCAAAAGTAGCTTTAGGCAGGGTCCTGAACCTCAAGGGAGGATAAAGGATCGGTCAGGCGTGCTTTAGCACTTGTCCAGAATTTGCTAAACCTATGGAGGTACTTCAGGAGAATGGAGCGACAGCCAGATTTGGTATTGTTATATACACGAGTACGTGAATCGAGGAGGAATGGCCGATCCACCAAGGTGGGGCCAATCGGAGTGAGGCCAGACTAGACTAAAAGCTCAAAGCTTTCTGCACTTCAGCTTTGAGGGACACAGCGCTGAAAGGTGGGGTGATGCAGAATGACACTGCCAGAGGGTGCATAAAGTGGAACGGTGACTCTCTCTGATTCTGGTGCTTACACTTTCATCCTCACTGTGGTTTGGAAGTGACCAGAGCAAGCGGAACAAGCACGTTAGTGAAAGTTGGCTCATTGCAATCAGCCCTGAGTTGACCAAAGGGAAAAAGGGTGTATGGATCATTGCGTTAGCGGGACGTCAGCTATTGCCTTCTAAACGGAAGCGACAAGCATCACCAACGATAAATTCCAGGCCAACCCGATTCAAGGCACCTCCAACCTTGTTGTGCAATCGAGCTCCTTGTGCAGGCAAGGTTGCTCGATCAATGTATAGATGTAAAGATCGAGATGTACAAACGGTTCAAACTTTTACGTTCCCATCTCTGACGCACCTTTGCTCCTGCGCAACTGGTTCAAACCCCTGTCATGCAAGGAGTATGCTGCCGGTCTAGGACAGCTTGGTCATCCAATGTTGATGTCGACACCTTGACTTTATCACATCCAGAATGTTTCTCCAAGCATGCTTTCTATGCAAGCATCTAGCGATGAAACGCAACCAGTTCGAAACGTCGTCAAGATTAGAGAGGGCCCATACCTGCCGCCTGCCGAAGGCTCCTGCCAGATAACCGCTGCGACAGCGCTCCTTCAGCTTGGCTGACTGCACCAGAGAAGAAGAGCCCAGAAGGTCATGTCAGCTGCGCAAGTGTGGCAAGTTTGAGCTGACTTCTTGCAGGTCAGAGCTTGAATGGGATCAATCAGGCGTTCAAAAAGTCAAGCAGACCAAACAGAGTGACGTTCAAAAAGGTAGGCACGTTTCATTTGGAGTGCTTTTGCCAGCTTGACGTGAATCAGCAAACGAGCTGAGGTCAGGGTGGTGTTGCAGGGTATGGATTCTTAACCTCACAGAGCAAAGCCCAGTTAAGCTGTTACAGGAGAGTCTGTCTGGAACACACGAACGCAGCCTGACTTCTCCTGAATCTTTGTTGACGCATCATGCGAGCTCTCTGGTATAAGCAGAAGACATGCTAACTTGGCTGAGAGGCTGAAGCTGCGCAATTGACAAAAAAAGTACTTTCATCTCTGAGCAAGCGGGGCTTGAAGGGGTCCTCACCTAGAATGCACCACAACAGGAGTCCTGCTATTGCAAAATTGGGGCCCATCTTTCTGTTGGTGGAGACAAATGCTTGACAAACAAAGTTAAGCCTTCAGCTGGTGTCCTGTCGTGTGATTGACACGCGCCAGCTTTTGCGCTTCTCCTTGAATGTTGTGTGAACACCTTTGCTTGTGTGTACACGTCATTTTTTCGGATTGCCTTTTTCAGCTCGCATGGCTGGGCATAACGAGCGTCGCAGCCATGGAGAATTTGCGAAGAGCCGACGCCAAGTCAACAGTGGCTTCTGAAGCTGCCTTCTGCTAGCAGCTGACGATAGAGGGGGGATAGAGGGAATGAGAGATTATAGCCAGGAGACGAAAGTGGGACGGCGCTTGCAATTGATCGAGCTGAAAATAAGATTCAGCTCCTTTTGAAGCTCGGATAAACAAACCAGCTGCCTGCCCCTGAAATCTCTTTCTCCGTTTGGCTTCTCTCTGTCTCTGAAACGAGCTCTACCTCTTTTAAGTTGTAAGCATCAAATTTTCACGGGGAAAGTCTGCTTTCGTTGAGCTCAATCCAAGTTTTGGCATGGATGCTACCCAGCTGATGATACTAATATGCGCGAGCCCGCAAGGTTGCTTCACATTATGCAGCATAGGAGGTGTCACCGTACTTCAAGGGCCTTAAAAGTTGCATCTAGACAACGCCATGATGCGCCTTTTCCAAGCACTCACCCGCTTCATCGTTGCCTGCCAAAGCTAGCGGATGCCATTCACTTCCTCCTGTATTATGCAAGCTTGGGCAGCAATAAATGACCGGCTGAATCCAGCTGAGTCTGCCGGCTTTGTCGGAAACCGTCACCTTCTGCTACTAAGCTGCCTGCAGCCTGCTGCGCTTTGCGCGCTTTGCATCTCTTTGTGCGCGCGTGACAACCTCTTTTATCGACGGCTGTCAACTCGGTTTGATATTGCACAGTAATCGACGGTGCTGAAGCTTCCAATGCTGTCCAATCCTCGCTGCCTCCGTGAGCCGTCAGATACAACATTTATAAAAAAGCATCGTCCGTCGGATGCAGATTCCGCAGTATCCTATCAAAGTGCACGTTGTGTTGAAGCTGCAGCCTGCATATACGAGTACTGACTGCAGTACAATACGGTACTGTACATGACTCAGCCGAACGTGCTGCTAGCGACGTTTCAGCAGCTCGACTCCGTGAAAAGCACGACTGCGAGTCTTGCATTGACCCCATCATCACGATAGCTCTCATGATCACTAGAGCAGCTTCCAGCTAGCTCATGTCAAGGAAGAAAGGCTCTGCAAGAGCGGCATTGTCCTTGATCACTAGAGCGCCCGTCTCCAGGATTATGATAGTGGACTTGCAGAAAGCGGTCCCTGCCATTCGCAGCAATGCGTAGACGTCTCTTTTGCGCCTGCTAGTAAATGTCTTCTGATCAAACACCTAGCCTGGCCCGCTGGCCCGCACCTTCAGAGCATGATCAGCAAAGCTCTCTGCCTGGATTCAGCTACCATAGCCATCCGCCGGGGAGCAGTACCGTTCTACCCAGTACCTGTTCAACGCTGGGTCTAGACGATCAGTGGTGGGTGAACGCACCACTGAGATATCAGTAGCTGGCCCACTTACTAGACAGAGGCTAGGTATTAACAGTCTCTGATAAATGATACTTTCAAGAATCGCAAGTTCCAGATTAAGCCAAGTGGCTGCTTCTGCCCTGAGCTGCTACTAGATGAAGGTTACTTCTTCCAGTCGCTGCAACCGGATCGGTGGATACTGCAGATTGCTTACAGCATGGCGGGCTGGGGAATAAAGCGCTCGTAGTGGGCAATGCCAGAATCGAAATAAGAGTTCTGTGGGGATTCAAATTATTGATTGCAAGAGCTGGCCGCTGCGCCAATGTCAAATCGTCTTTAACCAGGAAGCCCACTTTTGCTCAGAAAGTGGTGCATCCGATTTTAATGTCTGTATATTTTAAAGACTTGTTGCCGCTGATTGGAAGAGGGTCACCTTTTGTTGTGCAAGAAGGGTTGCACGTCTGCCACAAAGTACTACCATAGTCTCTGGTGTGCTTTCCAAAAACTAATCAGCAAACCAAGATTGAAAGTGAGTGAACTCGATCAGAGTGGATATCTCTCCAGTGAAAGTCAAAGTAAAAGTCTGCGGCAAGCGGCTGATTGAGGCTAATTGAGGCTGATTGAGGCTGATTGAAGCCTGCTGTGTTTTGGGATGGTATCCTGAATGACAGGAGCAGGCTAATGGATTCCCGAAAGTCTGGTGTGGCGCATACTGCAACACCCAAATGGAAATGCAAACCTCTGCTGTATTAACAAAGTCGCATCGTCTCAGCAACCAACAAGTATCGTAATCACACACACCGTTGGTACCATGTACTGATGCAGGTACTACCAGTCACGAGCATTCCGATTCTGCAGTCTGCCATTTTCCATCTTGGCTTTAAATAGAAACCCTAAAGCCCTTCAAAATATAACATTTCAGAGCCCCGATCAATTGTTGCCTACTTTCCCTGCATTCCTGACCAGTCAAGTTGAACTGTCGCAATGTACACTTTGAAAAGTTGCACATTTCAAGCGCTGACGTTGCCCCTCCTTTTGATTCTATACAGGTAGCTTGTTGCTCCAGCAGCCCCCCGCCGAAAAGACATGGCAAGAAGACCCGACTGCCAGAATTGGACCATCCCTTCACGCACGTAAATCAAGAGCTCTTCAAGCTGAAGCCGCCAGCTGTCACCCATGCAGAGCTCCAGGAAGTTCCGTGTTCCGAGGCCAGCAGTTTCCATCCTCGGCCTTGTAGTAGTGATGCTCATTGCTCTTGTCTCTTTCGAGACTTGGTTCCGCCGGTCCCTCGTGAATGGCTCAATGGTTGTGAGCCTCCGTTCTGAGTGGGGGGAGCGCAGCCTGGTTCGAAAGAAGGGGGGGGTAACAGAAGATCTGGCGCACCTCCGCACTTCCATGGCCGTGATCCATGCTGAACTGCAGAGCATAAAAAACGTGTTGCGAATAAGCTCTGGCGGTCCGCAGCGGGAGGTGCGATGGGACAGCATCTGGAGGGGGGGTTCGCCGTGCGGGACCCCGAGAAAGGACCCCCCTGAGGGCAGGGAGTGGCACGTGGCCCCGTCCAAGTACCTCGTTGCCGGGTGCTTCATCGGCGGATTCTCTAACCGGATGGAAACCCTGCTCGCGACGTCAAAGCTCGCGAACGCCCTCCGGCGCACGCTCGTCATTGCGCCGTTCAAAGCGCTGGAAGAAGGCGCACTCGGCATCACGGGTGACTTTGACCCTTTGGGCGTGTTGGACCTCGAACTGGCGCAGGCGTGCGTGGGGGAGGGGCGGGTTATGTCTTGGGACCAGTTTACCACGTTTAACCAGGGGTTAAGCACCTTTGGTTTGTGCATTCACTTCCCTGGGGGAGAGGAGCGGTGCGAGCGGGGGCACAAGGTTGGGCGGGACACACTGGGGGTTCCGTTCGAGACTAAGGATATCAATGGGTACGAAGTCAAGGACCTAGCAGTGGAGTTGAAGTTTCCGGCGGACGTCCTGTGGGTGAGGCATCTGTCCTGCGGGTCGATTTGAACGGTTAGAAGCTGCCCATCCTTACATGCCTCGTTACGGTTTTTCCCGCAGTATCCCGATTGGGATTCAAGAATCTACATGCGCAGTGGTGAAAAGATCTTCGAAGATCAAGCTGCATCTATCTCATATATTTGGCATCAAGCTCCTCAAATCTGCCTGCGCACCTTGTCAGCTGTTATGGGGACCTTTCGTCTTTGTGTGCGGTGGCCACTTGTACCAGGCCCGTAAACTTTACAAGGGTAGACACTTGCGTTTTGCTTTCGCTTTTCAAGCTTCTGAAATAGGTTTGAGAGCTCCATGAAGAACCACAAGAGTCAAATTATCTGGTAGAAGAACATGACTCCCAGAATTGGCCTTCATTCGTGTTCTATAAAGAGCCTGTCTGTGGCGAGCAAACAATCAAGCAGCATCGACCGAGCTGGTAGCTTGAGATCACCTCTAAAGAAATGTCAGATACTCGAGGGGGCAAACACGTGCCCTGCAACGACGTTTGTAGGAAACACTCAAAGGATCGGCTGACGTATGACACACGTCAGCCTGCCTGCGATGACGCTCGTTCCGCTTTGCTTCGATCAAGTATCATGAATCTGAATCAGATCAGCGCCTTCCCCAAGCTTGCCTATGCAGGTCTTTGTCTATCAACCCGTTGCCAGAAATCAGATCACTAGTACCGTACTGCCATTTTCAATCTGTTTGAGAATTTATTTTGAGCCCCGGCGGAAACTTCCGGAAATTCTTTGATGCCCGGTGCGGAAAGCCAAAGAAAATGAACAGGACTTTTCAGGCCAAATGCCTTTTTCAGCGGGTAAATTCGTACAAACGTAGTCGAAGATTATTTCATTTGCCTGGGGCGATGCAAATGCAAAAAGGGAAAACTGATTCGCGACCACCTTTGGCAGTACGGCACTCGGATCGGTTACCACCGGCAAAGCTTCCCCGCCAATCAACTGGCGGGTAAAATCTGGTTTGTCTGGTAAAATCGCTCTTCCATGGTCAAACCGGTTTCTTCTTCTTCAGGGTCTTAAAAGGTGTTAGTTTAACCTGGCGGTAACCCTATTTGCTGCTTACTCAACCAGCTACGCTGACAGAGGTTTGCAGGACAATTCTTTCTTCATCTAAAGCCAATCAACTGGCGGACTCTGCACTCAAACGTGGACACTTTTTTTCAGGTAGCCGAAGCACCCCACCTGGGCGATATGTGGAACTGGCAGCCAAAGATGAACTGCTCTTTGGAGTGGGACATTTTCCAGCCCTCGGCGGCGATCCGCTTGGCAGCGCACCGCTTCATTGCCGGAATGCTCGGCGCGGATTACGCGAGCTTCCACCTGCGGCGGGGCGACTTCTTCGACTATATTGACATGGAAGCGGATCCCGGCACCTTGTGAGTGTCGTTCTTCACAAGAATATCTAGCCCTTAACCAAGGACGGTTCTGGGCTGGTTAAAACTGATTTCTATATCCAGTAACCAGAACTGGGCGTTAAACAGCCTTGGAACCAGGTTCAAGCCCGGTGAAGTGTCTACTAACTCAACGTCAAGTCTGGTAGTCAGCCTCGTTAGCAGCCAAAACTTCCTGTGCTTGTGACGCTAGCTTTCGTGTGCTGGAAGCTTGTCCAGGTTAAGGGCTGACGGCTGGAAAGAGCGTACGGTAGTGGACGCGAGAAGGGAACCTGGGCTGTGCCGCGACCTGTGAGAACCATCTTCGGTCAAGAGACAGTCGTCCCGCAGTCGTCCACGTATACAGACCGCGCTTGTCTCGTCGCTTTTCCCGTCGGTTGATCGGGTCGAGGGCAGGAAAGTAGGCGTCGGAACTTCTGGGTAGTCAGAGCTTTCCATTCTGAGAGGTCATGTGTTCAGACTTTTCGCTGCCTAGAGACCAGGACTTACAGGAAGTATGTTCATCCTGAACAGATGATTTGAATCTAAGCTAGGACCACGCAGTGTGAAGCTTGGCAGCCCGCCGCCGAGCGCCCCCAGGAGAATAAAAGACTGGAATAAAACATGGGAAAAAGAGGAAATAAACGGCCACAACGTGTTGTCCTCATCGAGGACAACACTTGCGGCTGTGCTGCCACGACTTGCAGCCGTATCGGGAAGGGTCTGTGGCAATTTTATGAAGAGGATCTCGATGTCGGAACAGGATCTCGGAAGCATAAACTTCGAGTGCTCAAAGAGAAGCAAACGCTGCTCGAAACTTTATGCCACCCACAAGACGAGGCGCTCCTAAACTTCCTTAGATTGACGTCACCGCAGAACTGCAGCTGACGCAACGGCCTCTCACGAGACTTTGCTTCCAGGCGAAAACGCTCCCCGCCCCGCGCACTTCCCGGGTGCTCGTCATAGCGCAGCTGCGCTACTTGAAAATCGCGCTGCCCAAGCTCGCGCACTACCTCCGCCACGCACACAAACGTAACCTTTAGCCAAACCCCGGCTGACCAGATTTGTGGCTCGCGCAGCTCGCGCGCCCCCATCTTCACGCAGCTGCGCTACACCGTGACCGCGCTCCCGAAGCTCGCGCACTACCTGCACCGCGCACACATGCGTGTCTTTTCCCCTCCGACCGATTTTTTTCGCTCGCGCAGCTCGCGCAACCCCGTCTTCACGCAGCTGCGCTACACCGTGACCGCGCTCCCGAAGCTCGCGCACTGCCTGGCCCGCGCGGTCGACGGCAGCAACTTGACCACGTTCTACGTCGCGTCGGACGCCAGCCAATGGGAGATGGACAACCTCCGGGAGCTGCTCGCGAGCAGGGGCGCGCATATGGTGACGCTGCCGCCCCATCAGGAGTGGGACAAGCACCGGTGGGCGCGGGGGCTCGCGCAGAATACCAAGGTTAGTACTGGGGTTGAGTGGCCCTTCCCCCGGGTCGCTTCCGATTTGCGAGGCTGTTTTCGCTCCAAATCAACGAATTTTCTAACGGACCATCAACCGGTTTGACTGGCAAAAGGCAGTAATATCCCCAAGCAGAACCAGGGTCTTTGAACAGGATGTTATCTCCGCAACCCTCTCCAAGCCTCTAAACTTCGATCTCGTTTTCCTGATATGGAGGAGTCTTGGAAGGTGGTGTCTGGCTAATAGAGAGCCAAAACCCGACAAAATCAATTTCCTACGTGTTGCATCCTCAAACCGATCACAGCCTTCGCATCAGTAGCGTCGCGTAGATGTCTTGGCGCAACTTGGTGGCGCGAAAGAAAATCCTTCTTCACTTGGTGTTTCCTCTCCAGCCTTCGCCCGTGTTAATTCGCTGCGTAAGCTGGAACGAAACCCTTCTGACACGTGTCAGTCTGTCGTTTGCAGGTCGCTGCGATGCTGGACAAGTTCCTCTGCACGGCCGCGACAATGTTCGTTTCAAGCCGGGGCTCTATCTTCTCCAATCACGTGACGCGCGCGCGGCGTGCCTGGAGCCTGGACACGTGTCACGACCACGAAGTGTGTACGCTCCCAGGGGACGAGGACGATTTTACGTTCAGCACACCTCAGCCGATTCACGAAGGAGTGCTCATGAAATAAGGGAAGGGTCTCTATTCCACGAAACGGATTATAGAACAGTATACACGTTTGAAAGCAATTGACGACGAATTACGTCCAGTGTGAGCCAACCGGAGATGTAAAGGTAGGGATCGAATTGCCTAGCCGCGTATCAGGCCCACCCTCAGGTCGTATCATAGTATATCGTTACTACGTGATTCGTTGAAAGCTTTCTGGCTATGTAATTTAAACAGAATTGGCGAGCAAAGGGGTCAAGTCATATTGGGCAGGTGGCTTGAGTCTCTGAACGGCTCAACCTTTGCACTTTCATGTCCTAAAGTTGCATATCAGCTGGTTTTTCAGACGATAAAGATCACCGGAGGCTATATGGTTGCATAAAGAAGGACGTTTTTTCGCGGTGGGAAAGCAAGCAGAACAAGAGATATGGCCATTTGGACACGGTTGACTAAATATATACAATTCGAGGAGCCGTTAAATCATTGACGAACACGAATTTTGCAATATGTCTTCAACGCCCATGCTAGTTGAGGTCAGATGGCCATATTCATGAGTCGATTCAATGCTCTCATGTTTTGAACGCGACTAGCATCGTCTCGAGGTATTGACGTGAATGACTTACCTTACTGTGGCTTTTTGTGTTGTTATTCAATTGCACCTACTCAGCATAAGCCGATCTCACTGTCACAGTTTCCGCCTTGCCGGTTATAGCGGGCGTGCATCTCTAGGGTAATCAGATACAAGCTTTTGCCAGTCTGAACTTTATATATGCATGAAGCATTCATGTGTGTATCAATTGATGGCAAATTATTGTCTTCCGGAAACACAGCTAATTGAACTTCTGACGGCTTATGGCCTGATTGCGGATCCGACACAAGTGCGCGTTCCGTCTGTCACGGTAACGGCGTCAGCCCGGCCGCTGCAGCTCAGACTGAGTCCTGTTCAGCAGGTCCTTTCGTCACGAAGCAAATGATCGAGGGTTCATAACAAGTGAAACGACATCCAAAGGCGCCATATTCTCGTACTGTCACGACGCCATGCGAATTGTATAGAAGTTACCAAGGACCAACAACTGCACGTCCAGGGATCCAATCGCACCAGATTGATCCATGCGCGTAATTGAGATTCTCAACTCTGTATCCGAGACTTGTTCGGATTGACGTCCACCTTTGGATCGTCATCGAGCGGGACATTCAAACGCTCGTGGAATGTGCGTGCAGAAAAGACGTTCTGCATTCGGCTTCGAGTTTTCAGAAGCCAGCTTAAACATAAACCGAAATGAGAGCGATTGTATGCTTGTCGTAGTGGCAGAAGACGCCATGCAACTGAATGGGCTATCGGAGTTGAGTTGCATAAAAGCTCACAAGACAATGATTTTTCGACTGGCGGATGTCAATAGGTTGAGACAAACGGCTCAGTCTGTCTCTCAGGAGAATGTTCCAAACATCACACGAAATGTCTGTCGCGCTGATTGCGACTTTTGACTGCTCCATTTCTTAGGTTAGATTCTAACGTTAGCGTTATTCGAAGGTTCTCAGAAACTGCTGCACAACTGGGAAGCACGATTCTTTATTAGGAGTATCAGTGCATTGCCTACGATCTGACCCAAGATCAGTGTTTAATTGCTGGAGGTTAGACTGTTATCCTGCGGTCTATAAGAGTTCAGCTCGAGAGGTACTGATATCACAAGTATATCAGGCTGCTAAACAGGCTGATTACACAGACTCGAGTCTCAGGTTATTGGACAAGTAACCGGTCTTTAAACTTCTTTCAAGGCTGGTTACCGCCAATGTCTGGTATCTTATTAACCAGTCCATAGCCAGTCCATAACCATCCTTGGTTAATGACCAAGATTCCCTGCGTATACCTCATGATCTCAAACGCACGGACTGGCTGCTGGGCTCGGCGGCGCCTCTGAAATTGAACGCATCCTCGTCGCCCGGCAACGTGCACACCTCGTGGTCGTGACACGTGTCCAGGCTCCAGGAGCGCCGCATCCGGAACACGTGCTCCGAGAAGATGGACCCCCGGCTGTTGATGAACACTGTCGCCGTCGTGCACAGGAACTTGTCCAGCATGGCAGCGACCTGCGAATCGGAAAGTGCCACGTGTTCAATCAAGGTGGACCCCCGGCTGTTGAATAACACGGTGGCGGTCGTGCACAGGAACTTGTCCAGCATGGCAGCGACCTGCGAATGTAACAGTGACACGTGTTCATTGCTTAAGCACCAGCTTAAGCTCCGGAGCTCTCGGTGGCGAACTTCCGCACTCAAACCGCAGCCGCTCGGTCGCCGCGAAATAGACCCCCAGCGCTCTTTCAGGGGTTCGGAGCGGCGGTGAAGAAAGACGTCTTTGCGACTCACCTGAAAGCTTTCATTTGCATTGAAGACAGATTTTCATTTGACGGCCTCAAACTTTTGCAGTCGGGACAAACGTTCCATTGGCTGACGAAAGAGTTTTGCGGCCAAGACAGACGTTCTTCGGCGGACCTTAGACTTTTGCGGTAAAGATAGACGTCTTTCTCACTGACCTGAGATATTTGCGATGAAGACAGACGTCTTTCTAAACTGACCCGAGAAATTTGCTGTGAAGACAGACGTTGATTTTTGCATTCAGGACAAAAGTTGATTCGGCTAAGATGAGAGTTTGCAGTCAATGGAGCCCCGAGGCGTGTCGGAGGCGTGCATTTGGGGGGACCTTAACGTTCTGCGGTGAAGACAGACGTGCATCTGAATGACCAGGAGTTTGCGGTAAAGACAGACGTTCATTTTGAATGACCTAAGAGTTTTGCAGCCAAGACAAAAGTAGAGTCGGCTGACCGAAGAGAGTTCCGCAGTCAAGACAAACCTTTATTCGGCTGATTTGAGAGTTTTGCGGTCAAGACAGACGTCTTTTTCCAACTTGAATGACCTGCGAGGTTTGCCGGCAAGATGGACGTTTATCTGACGGGCCTGCGAGTTTCGCGCGAGGCCCAAGGAAAGGGCCACTAACCCCGCTACTAACCTGCGAGTTTTGCGCGAGGCCCAAGGAAAGGGCCACTAACCCCGCTACTAACCTGCGAGTTTTGCGCGAGGCCCTGTGCCCAGCGGTGCTTGTCCCACTCCTGGTACGGCGGCAGCGTCACGATCTGCACGCCCCTGCTCGCGAGCAGCTTCTCCAGCGTGTCCATCTCCCACTTGTTGGCGTCCGACGCGACGTACAGCGTCGTGAAGTTGCTGCCGCGGATCGCGCGATGCAGGCAGTGCGCGAGCTTCGGGAGCGGGGTCACGGTGTAGCGCAGCTGCGTGAAGACGGGCTCGCGCGAACTGCGCGAGACAGAGAGTAAGTCAGCCGGGGCTTGCAGGCTCGATTCGAATCACATCCCTGTGCGCGGTGCTATTAGTGCGCGGGGCGGTGCGGTGCTTTGGGGCGGTGCGCAGCTTGATAAAGACGGGCTCGCGCGATTGCGCTAGGCGGAAAGCTAGCCAGCCAGGGCGTGCGTAAGTGAGCAAGAATGCAACCAAAAAGAGCGACGCGTCAACTGAACAACACGCTTCGTCCGTCGCCAGACAAGCGTTCTCGACAGCGACAAGTAAGCCCAGCTCCCTTTCATGAAAGTAGCCGTTCCGCCACGGAAGCGAAGCGTCTCCAGCTCTGACCATCGCTGCGAAAAGCTTCTGGCTGAAGTTGGAGGATACCGTGTCCGTAATTCCAAGAACCGTTCACCAGGTCCGTTCACAAGATCAACTGTCCCAATCAAAAATAGCGTCCATCTTTATCGGGCTCGGAGCATTCCCAAAAGAAGTTGTACGCAATCGGTGAGAAAGGTAGCTCGGAATGCAATCTGCCAAGGGAGGAAAGCGTATAAGCGTGCTTCTGGTGGATCGATCAAGGGTGCTCACAAGGTGCTGGGGTCAGCGTCGAGATCCATGAAGTCGAAGAAGTCGCCCCGCCGCAGGTGGAAGCTCGCGTAATCCGTGCCCAGCATTCCGGCGATGAAACGGTGCGCTGCCAACCGGATTGCCGCGGAGGGCTGGAACAAGTCCCACTCCAATGAACAGCTCATCTGCGGCTGCCAGTTCCACAGAGCACCCAGAAAAGCTGCTTCGGCGGCCTGTAGAAATCGTCCCAAAACAACTGAGATAGATGGCATAAGAGGAGGTTAAAATGTTACGTTTACGAAAAAATGACAAACGGTGGTCAAGATCTTGCCCCTCCTGGAACCTGACGATGTAAGGTACGGGGCTCTCCGATTCTTGAAAGCAAAATGTCGAAGACACCTTTTCCAGCTTTGGAACTAGGATCTGGCTACAGCTGACAGCCCCTCAAATCTCACGCTATTGCTTCAGATATCTCTATAAAACAACATTACGCAACAAGACAACGCAATTCAGTCAGACGCGATAAGACAAACAACAAAAGACTCGATCCCCAATCATGCTCGGAGATTATTGATTCTGGCACTTGGAACTTTTCGAACCTTGATGTAGGTGGCACTGTTACACTAGCTCGCCGACCTTTCAATCTTTGTCTGAGGAACTCAATCTCCTGTTTGAGCGCTGGTAGCGTCCAAAGACGAGGATAACTTACCCAGAGGACGTCCGCGTCAAAATTCAGCTGCGTCGGTATGTGCGTGACCTCAAACCCGTTGATGGCTTCCGTTTCGAACGTCACTCCCAGTGTGTCCCGCCCCACCTGGTGCCCAGGCTCGCACCGCCCCTCCCCGCCAGGAAAGTAGATGCACAAACCCAAAACGCTTAACCCCTGGTTAACTTTCGTGAACTGCTCCCAGGAGATGACCCGCCCCTCACCCACGCACGCCTGCGCTAATTCCAGGTCCAAGACGCTCAGGGGATCGAAATCGCCGGTCACGCCCAGCGCGCTTTCTTCCAGCGACAAGAACGGCGCGACGACGAGCGTGCGCTGGAGCGCGACCGCGACCTTCACGGACGCCAGCAGGGTTTCCATGCGGTTAGAGAAACCGCCCACGAAACACCCCGCGACGAGGTACTTGGATTCGGTGACCTTCCATTCTCTCCCGGCGGGGGGGTAGTGTTTTTCGTGCTCGCACGGTGCCCCCTCCCTCCAGATGCTGTCCTCCTGATCCCCCGGCTGGCGAATCGGGGCGCCTTTTCCCACCAAACTCGCTAGTGCCTGGAGCTGAGATTGGAGCACGCCCATCGAACTCCGCAGCAGTGCAAACTCTTTTCCGACCCCCCCCTCATTCCCGCCCAGATTGGCCCCCCCCTCATGCCCACGCAAAGTGCCCGCCCCCTCATCTCCTCGTAAAGTCCCCCCCTCCTTTATTCCGCCCAGATCGCCCCCCCCGTCATCTCCGCCGACACCGCCACCCCGCAACTCGGAACGAAGGCTCCCTACCACGGGACCACGTGAAAGAATCGAACGGAGCGCCTTCTCGGAGGTGATGAGCGTACAGAGCACTATACCGGACAAGCCGAGGATGATCAGAATGGGGCGCGGGCCGGGGAGCTTTCTGGCGCTCTGCATGGGTGACACGTGGCAGCTTTGTGTGATGTTGTCCGTTGTCTTGAGGTGCAAGCCTGCAAAGGTATCCCAACTCACAGAATTGGCGCCGCTTGTGTCGAGGCTAGAGGGAAGACCCTTCCTGCATGAGAAGACGGGGAAATTTACTGCCGGAGATTTGCTTATTGCACGTCTCAAGCACCGGACTCGCAAGAAAGGACAGGGGTATGCGCTTTTTTGCGAATAAAGAGGGTGATTATGAGCACACAGGCACGCACTGACGCTTGTGGGCTGTTTCAAATCTAGGCCTTCTGCTGAGCTGTGGCCTGTAATCTGATAAGCGCTTCTCAAAAAAAATCTTGGCTTTCCAATTTTTAGGGTTATATTCCAAAACCTGGCACTTTACGCGTCCAGGAAGCCAGCGCACACGGCTTGATTTGCTGACCCCATCGTCAAACGGCTCCAACGTTTTAGGGGTTCCTCCTTGTTGGTGGTTTCAAGAGGCTTTCCGCTTGAAGCAAACCAGTGGGCCAGCTCTTGGCGCTTTTCATGAGAAATATCTCTCTGTGATCTTTCAAGGAATGTACGAAATTGAAAAGAGCAATAAAATGAGTGTTCTCCACAAAATCTTGTCTGACCACTACAGCACATAAACGACCAGCATGAGAGTTGGTCGATCAGAAAACGTGTCTCGTTTTAGCTAGCTAGCTTCTAACATTGGTCTCTATTCAAGGGCAAATGGTAAGGATATATAATTTCAGTGGATAGCACCTTTTTGCAATGTTCAAGCCTCAGGGGCACAGCTAGCTTTGTTGATGACAAACACAGCCGGCTTAAATGCTGTTCAAGATTGCATGTTTCGATGGCCATCATCCTGTGCAAATTAAAGGTTCCAGCTAGGCCAGGATCTTTTGCTCGACTTTCAGCCCATTGTACTCAGAGAAGCACTCAAATTCCCCAAAAGTGCTGTCATGATCAACGACGCGGGTACTGATCAGCGGTGGGCCAACACCACCGTTTGAACTGAAGCGCGGCCCATGCAATCACGGATGACATTTCAAGTATAAACAAGTCCAATGCGAGAGGTATTTCCAAGACCAGCTGCATTACCCACCTATTTGCGCTCAGCTGGGCGGTTCCTCCTCGTCCTAGTAGCGGCTCGCCACTCACACGAACTTGTGAGCATGCCAAAATGTTGCGAGCTTGTGGGCAGAGAGAAAACGTGTAGGAACGTTCCACACCAGCTGTTCCTCAAGCTTCCCGCAGACTTAGGCCCTTCGCATCAATAGCTCAGATAGCTTCTTCAAGCTGGCTTGCTGCTCACACCTTTTCTGAAACGTTTTTAAAGTTGACGTCTTTCTGGGCAACTGATTAGGAAGTTAAGTATGCGAGTTAGTGCTAGAATTTGACTCTAACCTCCTGCGAGTCAGAATTCGAATGCGGGTATGTCTTTGAAAAGGTATCTACTATCCATGCAGGTTACCAGTTTATGCCACTATACCAGGACAACACAGCAAAGTTGGCAATCCAAGTATACAATCTCATAGGTGAAAATGCTTTTGAATTCTGGCAGTCTGGTAGCACAATGACTGACAGTTATCAGAGAATATCCCTAAAATATGGAGGGTACTACCTACGTTCATGAAATTGGTTCCCGGCGCTCGCCAGGTGCTGTCTAACCAGCTCCGCTGATCGAGCCAAGGCGGAATGACGGAATTCAAAAACTGCCTATAACAAGCTAGGAATCAGGATCAGATTCACAGTACTACCTGTAACCTACTACATGTACGGTGCCCCCTCTGCAGGCAGCAGGATTCATGAACTGCCGAGTTCATTTTTCAGCCTTCGGCTCGCTGGCTTGCTCGGCCAGCTGACACCAACATCTACCAGTGCCCCCATTATATCATTCTGACCACTCACAAGGGCACAGTACGGTGTACATTGAATAATATAGGTAGGTACCCGCAATCGTACTCAATCAGAAGGTACAGTACCTAAATGAGACATCCGCAGCAGTGGGTACGCCTATTCGGGTACGAACCGGAGAATCCGGTAACGTCACGGGGCGCACTACCGGTATGCGCATCGCGGAGGTCTGTGATGTACGGAACAAGTCCGAACGACGCTTTTGTCATTGTCCTAGTCCCGGGCGCACACGAAGCTCTCAACAATGGGTATGAGCAGCGACCGGAGGTGCCTGGCAGTACAAAATCGGTCACAGAACAGTGCCTCTTCTGTAGCTGGGGGCGGGGTTTTAAGTACCAGGTAGGTACTTAAAACCTCGCCTTGGAGCTGAAGACTACCGTACGACGTACGGTACACGTAGGTACTCGAGAACATGACGGGACTCGCGTGCTAGATACCTGCGGCTGGCCCGTCGCTGCATGCCCTGACTGCCGCCAGTGAACACAGTGCACACTACTAGGTACCACCGTAGGTAGGTACTGCTCTTGACTTCTCAATTCCCCATAGGCTCGGCCGGAACTTGGCGCCAGTGCTCCCAATGTCCATGTTACCTTATTCAGGTATGCTGACGTGACTCCTGAGCTCACAGCGAGGTGCTTAACATCCTCTGCTGACGAGGACATTAGCGCCTGCATTGCACGAGTGAGGTGTGCTAGCGCTGACGTCCCGTGACGTCGGCTTGGACTATGTCACCTGAAAGTCTTTGCCGCTCAGTTTGAAATTAGCCTACCTGTTGAATTGTATTCAAAACACTGCGTTGAGTACTGATTTGAGCTGCCGACCCCTGCGAGAAGCAGTTGAAGCTGCGACTAGGTAGTGTTGACTCTTCCCCAGCTGATGGTTGCACGCAGGGCTTATCTCCTCAAAAGCTGGATGAATTCCGGCGGATAGGCATTCTTACGTCACTGGCGCTAAACGTCAGCACGGGGCGAACGAATCCCGACGTCATTGAAATTAAAGGGGGCCAGTAGATATATTGGCCTTCTTCTGCAGCCTGCTCTTTGTGCGGCAGCTCTAGCGGAGCTAGCAAGCCGTGACTCTGAGTTATCTGGATAAGATACCTAAGCACTGGCAGCTCGAAACACGACTGTTTTATCTCCTCGCTGGAGTGTCTGCCTCTTGTTCCATTTACAGCCAGATCCCAGCTGCCAGAAACTCGTCTTCTCATCGCTCAATCCAATCCTTCTCGCCTCGCAGCAACAGCGCTCTCCTCAAACCTTCCCCAATGGCTTCCCCGCGCGCCGCGCTCTTCTTAACCGTGGCCCTGGCCCTCGTTCTGAGCTCCCAGGCCCGTCCCTTGGAGGAGGATGTGACTTCACTCTTCGGCTCCCTGGACGAAGAACTAGGCGTGCGGCATCTTCTGGCCGCCAACTCGAGCGAGCCGTGCTGCAGCCTGTACAAGAAGACGTCGACCGACTTGGCGGGCTTCTCGGCTCAGGCGCGGGCCCTGCTGACGCAGCAGAGCAACCTGCTGACGTCACTGCTGCAGCAACCCGCCATCAAGCAGGCATTGGTCGACCTCCTCGCAAAGGTGGGGTGGTTGGTTATTCTACTCAACCATCACTTACGGGGCGGCATGTTCATCTCTTGGAACACTCATTGATTGCCGTGCTGATTGTTTATTACTATTCATGAGCTGCGTCCTGCCTTTTGGTCCATGAGTGACTTGCTATACTGCTCTGGGCCTTACTTGATCTGGTACTACCTCCCTCTCAGGTAGGGTTGCACTCCACCAGGGAATGAAATTATGCCAAGCTCACTATTACCTTGAGAGCCATGTGTTGTTTTCCGGCTTTCACTCAAAATTGGCAGCTTGAATTCCACAGGAGAACCCGCGCCAATGGTCAGATAGGAATGGTTGACCCAAAGCTGAGTTGCAGTGTATAATGTGTGCTGTCAAAGGATCGGTATGCGCTTCTTGTTCGGTTTTGAGTGCCTCTGACCTTTCTGCTTTAGCTGTCATAGCTTTTGGAGAGTAACAGAACAACCAGACTGACATTTGTCCAGAAGCTGCATATGCATAGTTAGCCCCAGATTCTCCCAAACGCTTGCATTCTCGGTCCAAACTAGGTTGATGAAAGCAACAGCTGGCAATGCTGTCGTAATCCAAGCAAGCTGCTTTTCAAGACCCGCTACCTGCCTGTGGGACCACAGCTTCAAGAGCTTTGACCACAACAAGCTGTCCAATGATTCTATCTAAGGATGAGTCCAGAACCAGGGTACTGGTTCTGTGTCTAGAACCAGTACCCTTGAAAAGGTACCAGGACGCCCACCTTGTTGAAACCAACATGTAATGCCCACTTTCTTCAAACCCACATTTGACACCCACTCTCTTCAAGCCAACAAACTTAACCCCAATTCGTAACCCCTGTGCAGGCGGACAGAACCCTGACCGACGACGGCTCCCAGCTCTTCGGCAACAGGTGCCTCACCCAAGCGCAGTCAAACACATTCGGCAAGAACCTGCTCATGGTGCGCAACATCGCCAAGGCCGTCAACGATCTCAACGCCATCAACGGACTGAACATCAACATTCTGAACATCCGGACTCTTGGAAACTCCCTCATCCAAGCGCTCCAAACGTTCGCTTCCCAGTCAGTCGCAATCGGCGCAGACCTCACCAAGACGGCCAAGGCCCTCAGCGGGTGCTCTGCTTGAGGTGAGGCACTTCGTTCTGTTAACCAGGTCCGGTTAAGCTGCCTGTAAAAATCTCCGTCTGGTAAGAGTGAGAAAATTAGGTTTTCTGATTGGACTACCTTGAACCGAAGTAGCAAGGGATCTCCTATCAATTCAGCACCTGATTCAGCCGTCGAGTCGGTGTCGTCAAGGTCTGACCGATCTAGCTGCCATCGTTCTTCTCCACTAGTATTGGCTGCGTGCTTCGTGCTTGCAGTTTTGATTGTTCAGCTCCAGCCCCTTTAGAGTTGCTCTTTCTAGGGAGTCTCGTCAGGAAGTCTGTGCCGCGCCGGAGGTCCCTATGTGTGCATCCGATCAAACCGTCTGCACAGGCTCTCAAAAGGGTTTGTCAGAGGCGCTTTCCAATCAAGTTCGACCACGCT